TTGTCATGGAAAACATGTTTTCCCCTAATTGGCCAAAGTGGGATTAGTAGCTGGGAAAGCCACACACTTCACAAGGCCTTCTGGGAGCTGACAAAATGCAGGTATTTTTATACCCAGTGTTGGTAGAGCCCTAACTCACACAGCTTCTCTGTTGTGCAAACTAATGAGGAGTTGCAGAAATAGGAACACAAAGAGCATCCATAGTCTTTGAAGGTTTTGGGCAGTGGGAACTGTCCATCTCATTGTGTCCTGTGCCACTATAAGGCCCTGGACCCCTCACACAAGCCATTGCCATGGTCCTCCCCTACCCCCTGTGCCTGCTTCTTACAGTAGACATGTCAGCCATAGGATGAGAGGACAATTCAGGTGGGAACAGACCCCAGGAGGTCTCTGGTAGAACGCCTGGCCCAAAGCAGGGTCAGCTTTGTGGTCAGACCAGGTTGCTCAGGGCTTTGTTCAGTTGGGTCTGGAAAACCTTCCATGCCAGAGCCTGCACAGTCTGTCTGGGCGACCTCTGCCACTGCCTCAGTGTCCTCACAAGGAAAAAGTTTCTCCTTACATCCAGCCTGAAGTTTTCATTTCAGTTTTTGCCTATTGTCTCTTATTCTTCTCTGCACCACTGTGAGTAGCCTGGCTCCATCTTCTTGGTGACCTCCTGACGGGTCCTGTGGGCTGCTTCTAGGTTTCCACCCCCAAGCTGCCCCTTTCCAAGGCTGAACAAGCCCTGTTCCTCCAGCTCCTCCTGGCAGGGCAAGTGCTCCAGGCCCCTGGTATCTTGGTGGCCCTCTGCTGAACTCACCCATTTCTCTGGTACCACAGAGACCAAACCATGACACCAGGTTAGACTCCCATGGTCCCCCACTTCTTACTGGCCCCCATACAACACATTAACTGCCACCCACTAAGCCTGATCCTCCAAAGAGTTTCTCACTTATCCCAACCATAACATTCTCACTTGGCTGCAATATTGTGGGAGATGGTGTTGAAAGCCTTGCTGAAGTCAAGGCCATGACATCCACTGCCCTCCCTTTGCCTGCAAACCCAGTTGCTTTATGATAGAAGGCAATCAGGTTGGTCAGGTGTGGGTGATCCTTGGTGAAACCCATACAGACTGTCCCCAGTAACCTTCACCTCTTCTCTCCTGCCTTAAAGTGTGAAGATCAGGAGCTCTGAAAAGGCTTCCTTAGAAACCCTGGCTGCTTGAGATGATCCCTGCTTCCAATGAAGACATGAATATGACTTTTTAATTCCCAGAGCACCCTCCACTGGGACATGTTTCAAACATGTAATGAATGAAGGTTCCTGCTTGGTCCTTGGAAATAGGCATCATTACTTCCATTTTTGAAGCAGAGACATGTGGAATAAATTGATCTAGATCAAGAAAAGAGTCTTAAGCAGGGTTAGAAACAGAACTGACAGCATCTGGCTCCTTGTCCTAGTCTCATACACAACTCATGAGTGTCCTTCCACCCACTTGTGTCCTGTGTCCCAAGACTACTGGGTGTCTGACATCAGTCAAAAATCCCTGGTGTCTGCTCACATGTTTTGGACTCATTTATATCCACAGTAATAAAAGCTGTGTGACGTTTACTTAGCAGGGCTCTTTGAATGTGCTGTTTGTTGTTTGGATAGTCTGCATCTTCTTCACATTGTTATCATATTAGAAGAGCATTCTTTTCCTGGAATAAAGAGGTAATGATTCACAAGAGGCATAATTATTCCATGGGGTGCAGGCAGGATGCTGCAGCAAGAGCTGTCTTCTTTATGCATGAGAGGCTTTTATTGCAAGTGTTCTACACAGTAATTAAATTCCTTTGAATGAGGAGGCTTGATTGGATTTTCTTGGGTTTCTTGGGAGGAGTCTGGAAAGCAAGGTATTTAGCTCAATTGCTGGACAATTTAGGCATCTGTTGGAGGTTGGGGAGAAAGGTTCAGAGTATCTGGTTCCCATTTCTCTTAGGCTACTGTTCTGTTAGCTGAACTCCACTGGAGACCCTCAGGAGGTTTGCAGATGACACCAAAGTGGGTGGGAGTGCTGATCTGCCTGAGGGCAGAAAGGCTGTGCAGAGGGACCTGGACAGGCTGAATTGATGGGCTGAGGCCAATTGTGTGAGATTCAACAAGACCAAGTCCTGCATTTCAGTCACAACAGCCCCAGGAAGCACCACAGGCTTGGGGAGCAGTGGCTGGAGCTGCCCAGCAGAGAGGGACCTGGGGGTGCTGGTTGACAACTGGTTGGCATGAGCCATCAGTGTGCTCAGGTGGGCAAGGACACCCACCCCATCCCTGGCCTAGCTCAGGAATGGTGTGTCCAGCAGGAGCAGGGAGGTGCTGGTGCCCTGTCCTGGCCCTGGTGGGGCTGCAGCTCCAGCACTGGGGGCAGCTCTGGGCCCCTCCCTGCAGGAAGGACATGGAGGGGCTGGGGCAGGTCCAGAGGAGACACCGAGCTGGGGAAGGGGCTGGAGAGCAAGTCCTGTGAGGAGAGGCTGGGGGAGCTGGGGGGGTTTGGTCTGGAGAAGAGGAGGCTGAGGGGAGACCTCATTGCCCTCTGCAGCTCCTGGAAGGAGGGTGCAGGGAGGTGGGAGTTGGGCTCTGCTCCCAAGTGAATAACAACAGGATGAGAGGAAATGGCCTGAAGCTGCACCAGGGGAGGGTTAGACTGGACATTAGGAAGAATTTCTATACTGAAAGAGTGGTCAGGCCCTGGAACAGCTGCCCAGGGAGGTGGTGGAGTCACCATCCCTGGAGGTGTTCAAATGTGTAGATGTGGCACCTCAGGGTGGCCCAGGTTGTGGGGGATTTTTTGTTTCTGTTTTGTTTGTTCGTTTTTTGTTTGTTTTCTTGGTTTGCTTTTCTGTGGGTATATTCTGGTGGAGTGTACATGGTTGGTTGTGTTTGTTATGGGGTTTTGGGGGGTTTTTTTGGTTGATGGTTGGACTCAGTGACCTCAGAGGTCCTTTTCCACCATGATGATTTTGTGATTTTGTGAATTAGGCCCTATCTGTGTCTGTGTGAGATTCAAGCTCAGAAATCCCTGGCAGGAAGCAGCAGGGTACCCAAATGCATCCTGCAGGAACTCAATTTATCTAAGGTAAAAAAGCCTTGCTAAAGGAAAGTTACTTGCAATTGCAAAGGCAAGTGCCCCAAAGTGAGGAAATTTCACATTTACAGCTGCCCTTCAGATCTGATGCTTGCCTTATGGTGAGTCCAGCCCTGGCCCAGAATGGGACAAAGTTCTGAGATGCAGCAGCAAGAAAACGAAGTCAGGCAATCGTGGAACAAAAACCTGTGCTGGGGTTTGACACACGAGCCAGGATGCTGGCATGGCCCAGCTCTGGAGTATTTGAGTTGTCAAACTAAATCATGTTTGTTTACCATCAGCTACTGCACACAGTTGCCAAGGTTTTGTTGGTTGGGGTTGTTTGGTTTTTTTTGCAAAGGAAAAGAGTAAAATTGTAAATTAAAAGGAAAAGTCTATGATGTACAGTCTCAGCATCTCTTAGCCATGGGGTTTGGGTCTTGTAGCATAAATTCCAGCATAATTTCTTCCAACAGGCTTCACAATATGTCAGGAGGAGTGTGTTGCTCAGGCAGAGATGGAGATGTATGACCCCACAGGGGTGATTTCACCCTTCTCAGGTGTCTCTGGAGGGAGAGAAGTCATGATGAGGAAAGTGGCATTTTCAACAGCCCAAGGAAATATCACAAAGCAATGGGAGGCACCTTCCTATTCTAGGGGCTCCCTGCTCACCTTGTTTATTAACACCTTGTTTCAGCCAGGGAAGAGTGGGAACCTCTGAAGAGCTGGTTGCCAGGATTTGTGTGGATCTCAGAGAGGTTTCCTGGGGCTCTGCTTGTGTCTCAGTGGTGGAGGTGGAGGAGAGGGTCCTGGGTCTGGGTGACTGTTGGTTTTGCAGGGAGAATGGCAGTAGGAATGAGAAGACCTTTGACTATGTTTTGTGAGGACATAAAAGGCAAGCAGCAAGGAGCTTGGGTACTGAGGAGGAGACTGGGACTGGCCAGAGGAGGACAATGACACCGACAAAGAGATCTCAAACCAGACAGCAAAGCAAGATGGACCTTGACCTAGGTCTGAGGGGAACTGGCAAAAAAAGTCTGTGTCCTGCAAAACCTGGGGCTAGAGCTGCCTCATGCCTGTGCATTGGGCCCCCAAGCAAAGGGGAATAGAGGTCTCTAAAATAGGTCTGCAAGTGCCAAGTGTGGTTTATTGGAAGGAGTCTGAAAAGCAAATATTTGGCTCCTGCACAGTGTGAGAAGAGGAGAGGTCTGCAGTCATCCATGATGCTGACTTGTGTCTGAGGCCAAGACAGGTCCCAGTGACTCACACATCTCTACCCCTGGTAAACCTTAGGTGTGCTCCTCAGCCATCAATCCTGCTCTCCTTGTGGGATACCAGGTATGATGGACATCTGCAGCTGAGGGTATTTTCTGCTTAGTTTTGGGACCTGCAGCCAGAATGCTTTGGTTCTTTACCTTCACTCCCTCCTACTGGCTGCCAGGCATTATGGACCCAACAGATAGCTTGTCCTGTTGTCTTTGTCTTCTTCCTTTCAAGTTGCATGTTTTAAAATGAAAGACAGAGGAAAAAACCACAGCACAATTGCCTCCAGTCTTGGTGTAATTTGGAGGAGCATTATGAGGCAAATGGGACCCACCAGTGGCCTAGGACTTTATGGAGAATGTTGCCATGTGCTGATAGCAGATGAGTCACATCAAGCCATAGTTTTCTTCTTGTGACCCTCCTGACTTCTGAGTGGTTGTCATCCCCTCCATGATTTATGAATTCTCAGCAAGGATCCCTCCAGTAACCCCTTGTCTGCACAGAAGCTGGAAATGGAGTTAAACTTTTTGCCAGAAAAAAGGGAATTTTGCCCCAAAAATATAGAAATATATCATTTCAATATTTTTTTTTTCAAGGGCTGAATTAAAATTGCTTCTCTCTCACTGATGTTTCTTTTATGTCTTGGCTTCCTGAGCAGAAACAGCCACACCTGAGGACTACCTGGTTGATCCCAGCAACGTGAAGCGGTTCAACCTGGATCCTGCTGCTCCTGCCTCTGGTTGCACAGGCTCCACCTACACCCCCCGGCAGACCCCTGCAGATGGACATTCTGCTGGAGGCTCCTCTTCCTCCTGCAGCCATCGTCCTGCCCAGACATCTTCAGGGGGGTCCTCATCTACTGGCCTGAGGCATCAGACCTCCAGCCCAACGATGAACGGGAGCTGTCTGGAAGGAAACAGAAGTGGTAAGATCACACCTCCCCTGGGGGTACTAGTGGGTCAAAAAGCTGAACATGAGCCACCAATGTGCAGCTGCAGCCCAGAAGGCCAACTCCATCCTAGGCTGGATCAAAAGAAGTGTGGCCAGCAGATGGAGAGAGGTGATTCTGCCCCTCTGCTCTGCCCTGGTGAGGCCTCACCTAGAATATTGTGTCCAGCTCCGGTGCCCCCAGCACAAGAAAGATGTGGAGCTGTTGGAACATGTCCAGAGAAGGGCCATGAAAATAAACTGAGGGCTGGAGCAGCTCTGTGATGAGGACAGGCTGAGAGAGCTGGGGCTGTTCAGCCTGAAAAAAAAGAAGGCTCCAGAGGGACCTCATAGTGGCCTTCCAATGCCTGAAAGGGCTACAGGAAAGCTGGGGAGGGACTTTTTACAGGGGTTTGCAGTGAGAGGACCAAGGGGAATGGTTTTAAAGTGAAAGAAGAGAGATTTAGGTTAGAGATCTGACATAAATTATTCAGTGTGAGGGTGGTGAGACACTGGAACAGGCTGCCCAGGGAAGCTGTGGAAGCCCCATCCCTGGCAGTGTTGAAGGGCAGGTTGGATGGGGCTCTGAGCAACCTGGTCTGGTGGGAGGTGTCCCTGCCCATGCAGAGGAATTGGAACTAGATGGTCTTGAAGGTCCCTTCCAACTCCAAACCAGTCTGTGATTCTGTGATTTACCAACATGTGTTGCTATGCTGGTGCCAAGCTGGAGTCTTAACTCACCCCCAAAGTCTCAGGAAAATTAGTGAGGTGGGTCTGGGTTGACATCCATCCAGACCACTCATTCTTCCATTTAGAAGGAGAAATAGTAAGGTATACAAACACAAAATCAATCTGTTTATCCTTAAGTAAATAGATGAATGTTTTCTAATGCTGTTATTAATTATTTAAACATATGTATTATGTATAATCGTGTGGCAATCACAACAGTTATCATCAACTTACAGATATAGATTAACACATGGGGTAGATTTAGATTAGACATGAGGAGGGAATTGTGGAGTGTGAGAGTGGTGAGAGCCTGGCCCAGGTTGCCCAGGGAAGCTGTGGCTGCCCCATCCCTGGCAGTGTTGAAGGGCAGGTTGGATGGGGCTTGGAGCAGCCTGGGCTGGTGGGAGGTGTCCCTGCCCATGCAGGGGGTTGGAACTAGATGGTCTTGAAGGTCCCTTCCAACCCAAACCATTCTATGATTCTATGACTCTATGAAAACCATCACTCACTCTGCTGTAATTTTCCCACACTAGTTTCCCTGGTTTACCTGTTACCTTGTTCCACAGAGCACAGATGAGCACTCAGTTCTCAGCATTCTTTTTTCTTTACTTACAGAGTCAACTATACTCAAAGCAAAGTGGCTAGAATAGCAATGCCCTGCTGCAAACAACTTGTAAAAGGTTGTCGCTGACAACTAGGGGCCTCAGTTCCAAAGAAAAGAAAATGAAAAGCCTTTTTCAGATCTTGCTCACTGCCTCTTGAGCCAGTGTCATCAGGTGCTGGAGGACAAGAGGCTTCCCGTGCACAGGATTCATTTTCCCTTCTCCCACTGCTACTCTAGAGCCTCCCTGGGACCCTTTTGTCAAGCTTTTTAGTTGGCAGCTGTGAGGAGCCAAGATTTAACAAGGTTGTTACCTCCTTGCTTTGAAAAATCTGTATCATTCTGCCTGGGATCAGTCATTATCCCTTCCTAGCAATACAGGAAGGGTCAGAGCAGGTCAGACCAAAGGTCTGTTGAGCTGAGCATTGTGTCTCCAGCATGAGACAGCAGCACACCCCCAGGGAGGAGGTAAGTGCAGAGATGGTGGCACTTCCCTCTCCACCTTCAGAAAGTTGTGGCTCAAGAGCTTCCTGAACCAGAAGTGGTGGATTCATATTTAGTAACCCTTCATAGATTTTTCTTCCCTGAATAACTCAGTGGCTTATTGAATGCTTTGTGTGTTTTCAGCATCCTCAAATTGCTGTGTTCCCATGCTTGAAAATGTGTTGTGTGGAGGAAAGCTGAGGTATCAGGGGTTTGAATCTCTGTTCAAGGGACAGAAGCTTAAAATCAGAGCCCCTTAAGCTTGCTCAGCTGCATTACGTTCCCTTCTTGCTTCTGACTGTGAATCTCACTGTTTCCCAGTCTCAGCCTTATGAAAACTTGGTGTGGTCCTGATCAGGGCACTAAGCTTCAGGAGACAGTGCCATCCATCTCTCTTCTCATGACTTCCCACACAGCTGGCAGTCTTTACAGAATGAAAGCCTAAAAGGTGGCACATCTTTTCTCTAGAACTGAACCAATGGGAAAATCACAGAGGAGTGATTCAATGGCTTTGCAGGTTCCTGTATTTCTCTAGCTTGAAATACATTAAAGGACTTTGAGGAGAGAAGAGGAAGAGATTGCTTTTGCATCAGGCCCCCATGATATGTGGAAGTCTTTGAAGTTATTTTTAATTTCAGTAATTTTACTTTTCAGTGAAGTCTCTTCTAAGCCTCCAATAACCAGCAATAGGACGAGAGGAAATGGCTCAAGTTGTGCCTGGGGAGGTTTAGATTGGATATTAAGAAAAATTTCTTTACTGAAAGAGTGGTCAGACACTGGAACAGGCTGCCCAGGGAAGTGGTGGAGTCACCATCCCCGGAGGTGTTCAAAAAATGTGTAGATGTGGCACTTTGAGACATGGTTTAGTTGGTATGGTGGGGTTGGGTCAGTGGTTGGAGTTAATGATCTTAAAGATCTTTCCCAACCTTAATGATTCTGTGACTAAGCTCCTACACAGGGTACTTTGGAGTGACAGGACTCATCCCCAAACTGCTTAATGTTTTAAATGTGATAAGCATTTGACACTTGCATGGATTAGCTCCTCTGGGTCCTCTGGGTCATTTGGTCAGCTCAACAGCTGCTCCCTAAAACGGGCAGTTACGCAGTGAACAGCACAAAAGCGGTTATTGATGTATTGATATTGCTTATTTATAATTATCAGCAATGTATTAGTCACAGTTTCATCCGTTGGAGATAAAGGTCTCCCATAAAGGTCCTCACAAACCCATGCAGAGATGGGTTTGCTGTCAAGGTCTCCAACAGAAGGAACAGCAATTCCTGGTGCTCCACCAACATGAACCACTGTGCAGCAGCCCAGATGGTTAGTGTGTCTTTGTGCTACCACCACCCTCTGCATCTCCTCTGATCCACTCAGCTGCTTTCTGGGGCCTCCAGCAGAGTCTCCCACAGTGCACAGGGAAGAGCTGGGATCTCTGAGGCAGAGGAGGGTCATTTGCTCTCAGACACAGCCAGGCAGTTTGCAGTGACACCCATGAAGTCAAGGTGCCCACAGATTCATCACGAGATCCCTTCCAGCACGGAACGGTGCCGCTCCCACTCACCCCCTGGTTTCATCTCCTTCTCTGTTTGCAGTGGTGTCAGCTCTGTCATGCTGGAATTCCCACTGTAGAGTCCTACAAAGCATTGCTCCTCCTTAAAATTAGAGACTGAGTTTCTTCACAGCCCTCACACCTCACCCACTGTGCTGCTTCCTCTTCTACTGCCAATCACACGCTTTAAAAATCCACGTCTCTCTGCACTTGCCTCAGAGCAGCCACACTGCAGTTTGATTAGTGACTTTGCAAAATCTCTCTTGAAAAGGTCTTTGGAATCTGTTCTCTCTCTGATGCTTCTGCATGTGTTTTTCCTCTTTCTAGAGATAATTTATATGCTGCTGAATCAGAAGTGAGCAAAGATGAGTGAGTGGCGCATGAAGTCTCTGTTCTTGAAGTCTCAGTTTGCATATTGACAAGGCAGGGATGGGCAGGACTCATTAAAAAGAGGCAGAATTTCTCTCTGAAACCTCAAAGGGATCCTCTTTGTTGATGGATATTTTTGAAAAATAGCTTGCCTTATTTATCATGGTGAGCAAATATCATGGAGAAAACCATAACCATAAAACACATCTCAGTGCACAGCAGCACATCTCTTTCAAGCAGAATGGATGAGATTAAACCTCAAAGCTCTCATTAATGTGATAGGGAAGGCTGATGCCTAAATCTCCATGATTATGCTAAAAAATTGAAAAAAAACCAAACCCCAACAAACCCAAACAAACAAACAAATAAAAAAACCTCAGCTGGTTTCAGAAAGCCAGTGAGGGCTGCTAACAGATAAACATGCACTGTCCTGTCATCAGGTGCCATACTGAAGTTCTTAAATCATGGAAGGAATAGTCAAGGACATCATAAAACTTTCCAAGCCTGCTTACAGAACAAACAAAGCCTTTATTCCAAGTATGAAGAATTGGACGTTCAACCACAACATCATAACCTTAACCTTGCCCTGTAGCTTGTTATTTTTATGTAGATTTTATTATCCAATATTAGCAGTTAATTATTATCACCTGAGGGCCTCTGTTAAAGAGGCAATTCTGCTTGCCAATGCATTTATTTCCTGAAAACACTGGGGGAGTGCAGGGGCTGAAGTTCCCCTGTTGCCAGAATAACACTGCCAGCACCCCATGGGGACCAGATCCAAGGCAGTGGCAGAGGAGCTGCTGGTGGCACAGCAGGGGCACCACTGGGGACCACTTCTTGGGCAAACACAGCCTACCTGTTCATTCCTGAGGACATTTACAGCCTGAAAGTTCCAATGCTGTTCCAAATGCCTTGTCTTTTTCCCCTGCACAGGACAGGCAGGGAAAGAAAAGGCCAAATAAAGGTTGAAGGCCACATCTCATGCAGCTGGATACTGGGCTGCTCTTGCAGTGGGTGGAGGAGCCCAGTCTCCGATCTTCCCCCCAGTGACCAGCGATAGGACAAGAGGAAATGGGGTCCAGTTGCACCAGGGGAGGTTCAGGTTGGGTATTAGGAAAAATTCCTTCACAGAAAGAGTGGGGAGGCCTTGGAACAGGCTGCCCAGGGAGGTGGTGGAGGCACCAGCCCTGGAGGTGTTAAAAAATGCATGGACGTGGTGTTTTGGGAGATGGTTTAGTGGTCAGGGGCTGTAGGGTGGATGGTTGGACTTGATGATCTTGAAGGTCTCTTCCAACCTTAGTGATTCTACAACCATTTCCAGAGCTCTCTGCTGACTGTGCCTTGTTAATCCCCATCTCCCTGCACCCATGGATATGCTGTAATTGTGTTCTCCCACATGCCTGTGTCAGCCTCCTCTTATGCTTGGTGTGGCCTAGACTTCCAGAAACGTGTCTTCTACAAAGTCTTCCTCCTGTCCTTGTTTACCTGGGAGGTGGTTTGTTTTGAAAAACAATTCCCATTTCTCTGCACCTCTGAGGGCCTGCTGCTTCTGCTGAGTTTCAGTAGATCTGCTGCTCCTTATTATCTGCTCCAGTGCAATCAGAGAAAACCTTTTAAAATTTCATTCTCACCCCATTCCCCTGAGGCAAGGAAATCATTTAGGCCTGCAGCAATATTAAAGTTCATCTGTCACTCCCTTTCCACTCTTATCTATCAATGACCATACTCCCCCTGGGCTCTGTTTGTTTGCCAAGAACATATTTAGGGAGTCTGTTATTTATCTTGCCTTCTTTCACAGGTTTAACTCCATTTTTATCTTAGATTCCTTTGTCATGCCTTTGCAGTGGTTCAGTTGTTGGCTTTCTTTCTCTCCATCCTCCTTCTCAGGAAGGTTCTGAGGCCAGAGGTGAAGATCAGAGAAAAGCCCACATGGGGTGAGAGCTCAGACCAAGACAGGCCACGACTTCCCATCAGTTTTGCTGGTCTTTGCCCACTGACCTGGTATCTCCAGCTGTTTCTGTGCAGGCAATGGTGTCAACTGGGGTGCCCCAAGACCTTCCCCTGCAGAGGAACCTCTTCACTCTCCTTCCCCAGCACTGCTTCAGGCAGGAGAGGGAAGTGCTTCCCTCTGATTACCTACATTTCCATATCCCATTCCATTAATTTGACAAATTTTTGCCATCTGTCAAAAACAGGAAATTGGATTTGACCTAGATTACCATCTCTAAAAATAATTATTGGTCCCCAGCACTCCCATCTCTTTGTAATCTGAGTATTCATTATCTTCCTGATTAATTCTGATGACAGGATGGCATAGGATACCCGGGAGACATGAGACTTCCTCATTTATCTAATTCTTAGGTTAAGTGTGAATACCTTCAGATAAGAAAAAATGGATAGTGCTTGCCCTGCTGCCATCAAACACTTTTGTGCTTAATATCATCTTTCAGCAAAGTGATGCCATTGGAACAAATTCCATGCCTTTGTGTCAACCTGAAATGACTAATTTGCTTTTGCAAATAGGGAGATTGCACTTAGATGTGTGAATTTTGCTGTTAAAAAAGCCAGAGTGAATTAAACAACAAACATTTTAAAATATATGGAAAACCAGGTTGTTTCAGACTCCTCAGCTGAAAACTATGTTCAAGATATTTCTCTGCAAGCTGGTGGTGTCCCAGTTTTGCTAACAGCATTTCAAGGTAGCCCCTGACACAAGTAAAATAACACATCTTAATTCATGAAAAAGCAACAGAGGATCCAAGACCCTACACCTTAGGTAGCTAAATAAAGACTAAACAATATCTGAAGAGTTAGTATCTACACATAATCCTTGGGTTTATATTATTATATTATACCTCAGGTGGGAATCTGAAAGGTTTATCTTGATCTGCTAGGTTCTGGAAGAGCTCTAGTCATGCAGTCTCTTTAGAAAGGTAATTTCTATAGTTGTCTTTTAAAAAAATCAGATTCATGCTATCAATCTCTAGATTGCAAAGAAGTCAATGGAATTCCCCTTTCATTTCAACTTTTTCTTCTCATCCCCCTTCCTTTCACTACAGATAATTCCAATACCTGTGAGGGTTCCCAACCACTCTCAGGGCTCTCTCTTTCCC